CCCCCCCCACTCTTTTCTTTCTTGTATACTTTGTTTCTCCCTTCAGAGTTCACATGGTTACAAATGGATTTTGCTTTTGCAGGCCAAGAAACCTGTGAAAACCACAATACACATATAATCTCTCTCTCTCTCTCTCCACATACAGAATATATATCACCCTATCTCTATCTCTCTGTACTATATTGTTACCAGCATTCAGATCTTCTGTGTTTGTTTTACATTCATACAGATTGGGAGATGTTGTCATGGCATGCAAGTACAAATTCAATTGATGTATCATTTTGCTTTATCTTCTCTTTCTGTGGAGACATAAGGGCGGCCATGAATTTCGACGTCATTCCAGGCTAACTCTGCAGAACATGTGATTTCAGGCTAACTCTGTGGGAAGCCAACAGGAAGGGGAACTGATTAACGTTATCATTCAAAATCACAGGTTAGGCTCCTTCTGACCTTTGGCCCCTGTAATGTATATCATCTTGTGTATGAGGTTTTTATATACAGGTCTCAGCATAAGGTCAAATCCATCCAAAAAGAAACGAACATCAAAACAGGAAGGATCCGAAAATCAACAAAGGCAATAAGGCCATGACAAATTCTTTATTCAAACCATCCAATGGTGCATATGCCAGTTTTGAATAACAAAATACCATATTTAAGTTTCACTGGAGAAGGCAATCCTATCAGGTTAGAAGACAAATGGAAGTGGGGCAGAGTTCAAACTCTGTATCATCAGCCAAATGCAAAGAGGTTGCTGTTTCCTATGAAAAGGGAAAGGAGCATGAAAGCACTGCTCAAAACGGCCAAGACAGGAAACAAAGTGAAGATCAAGGAAGCAGCAACCATCAAGAGCCCGTCATGGAAAATTATCGGTATTGGTTTGTGCGGTATCCTTTTCATTTGGTTCCTATATTTACAAAGAATGGAAGTCAACATCAAAACCATAACTCTGCCCTCCATACTGCACATAAAGGTACTCTTTTGGAGATGAGGATGGGGGCGGAATTTGTAAGATTTCAGGAATGTCTGATGTAGGGGGTGAAGGCATGTCTTTTTTCTTCAGAGAAAAGTAAACATCAGCTATAAGAAGCCAAATAATATCAGGTTCGATAGATGCAAGACCTTGAAGGGCATTTACAGATGCATCACAGAGACCTTGGAGGGCATTTACAGATGCATCAAGGAGACCTTAAAGGGCTTTAAATATATTTTCATATTGCACCAACAATAAAAATATAGATTTCTCTTAAGGCCTATCTTTTGAGGTGCCCTTTGTGAAAATCTACACTCCTATAAAAGTGTTTATAAACAAAAGCACTATGATTGTTGGGTAAGTGTGATTAACATTGGAGAGTTGGGCCAATGGGCTTGGCTATAGGCTTGGCTTTGAATTTGGCTTTCATTAATAATAATTAAATTAGTCAAAGACATGGGCCTTAGGCTATGTAGAAAGTTAATTAAGACACCAAGATGATTTCACAAAAGACTTTAATAAATAGAAATTAATTATTTTGTGGACTTTTTCTATAACTTTTTTAATATTAAAATATAATTACTAATTAAAGTAATTCAAAAGGCTAAGATATTACGTAATTACATATATTAAATTAAAGAAGTAGGACAAAAAACAAAAGTAAAGAAACTAATTATATATTTTTTAAATGAAAATGAAAAAAAAAAAAAAAACACTTGTCCCCGACGAAAGTTCGTCAGCATAGGTCTACGCCAGCGAAATTTCCCTGATTAAATTTTATTTTTAAAACGTACAACCGCCCAGCTATACTATTTCAATATATAAAAAAAGGGACGCACCCAGTGCGTAGGTGCCACGTGTCAAAACAGTAAAACCAGGAGGCTATATTATTTTTTTTATTTTATCTTAAAAAAAACGGAAAAACAAGTATAACCGCATGGCTATACTATTTCTTAAAAAAATTCAAAATGAATCCACGTGTCAAATAGGTGCAGCCGTGCGGCTATACTATTTTTTAATTAAAAAAATAGAGAAAAACGGATATAGCCTCCCGGCTATACTATTTTGTAAAGACAATTAGGGAAAAACTGAGAATAGCCGTGCGGCTATACCATTTTTTTTTATAAATATATATTATTTTTATTCAATAGTATGTGAGAATTATATGTATAATACGTGAATTTTGTGTGCCTTATTGAAATTTTGGTACAAAATAGGTGTATTAAAGATGATAAATACGTGCATATAATACATTATTAAATGTGAAAGTGCTAGAATCTTTATATGGGTAATAACTCTAGAAAAGTAAAAATTAAAAAAGGGACAATAGATACTCGAGTAATGGCCTAATAGTAATTGATAGGGCTCTTGGGCTGTGGAGAAAGTTAATTAAGACATCTAGACGATTTCACAAAAGACTTAATAAATAGAAATTAATTATTTTGTGGACTTTTTCTATAATTTTTTATATAAAATAAAATATAATTACTAATTAAAGTAATTCAAATAGGCTAAGATATTACTTAATTACATATATTAAATTAAAGAAGTAGGCAAAAAAACAAAAGTAAAGAAACTAATTATATATTTTTTAAATGAAAATGAAAAAAAAAACTGTCCCGATGAAAGTTCGTTGGCACAGGTCTATGTCGGCGAAATTTCTGTGTGCCGAAGAACTTTCTCGGATTAAATTTTATTTTTAAACAGTACAGCCGTGCGGCCATACTATTTCAGCGCGTAGGTGTCACGTGTCAAAAAAGTAAAGCCGGGAGGTTTTTTTTTATATAAAAAAAGGGAAAACAGGTATAGCCGGACGGCTATACTATTTTTTTTTTAAACTTAAACAAATTCAAAATGAATCCACGTGTCAAATAGGTTCAGCCGAACGGCTATACTGTTTTTTAAAGACAATTTGGGTAACAAGGCTATGCCATTTCTTAAAAAAAATTCAAAATGAATCCACGTGTCAAATAGGTACAGACGCACGGCTATACTATTTTTTTTAAATAGAGAAAAAAATGGGTATAGCCGAACGGCTATACTGTTTTTAAAGACAATTTGAGTAACAAATGGTATAGCCGCACGGCTATACCATAATTCAAAATGAATCCACGTGTCAAATAGGTACAGCCGGACGGCGATACTATTATTTTTTCAATAGAAAAAAAGGGGGGCTATACGATTTCTTAAAAAAATTCAAAATGAATCCACGTGTCAAATAGGTACAGCCGTCCGGCTATACTATTTTTAATAAAAAAATAATAATAAAGGGTATAGCCGCCCGGCGATACTATTTTTAAAAGCCAATTAGGGAAAAACTGTGTATAGCCGCGCGGCTATACCATTTATATATATTATTTTTATTCAATAATATGTAAGAATTATGTGTATAATACATGAATTTTGTGTGTCTTGTTGAAATTTTTGTAAAAAATAGGTGTATTAAAGATGAGAAATACGTGCGTACATTTATTATTAAACGTGAAAGTTCTAAAATCTTTATATGGGTAATAACTCTGGAAAAGTAAAAAAATCGAAAAGGGACAGTAAATACTCGAGTAATGGCCTAATAGTAATCGATAGGGCTCTTGAGCTATGGAGAAATTTAATTAAGATACCTAAATGATTTCACAAAAGACTTCATAAATAGAAATTAATTATTTTGTGGACTTTTTCTTTAATTTTTTTTATGTTAAATAATAATTAAAATATAATTACTAATTAAAGTAATTTAAAAGGGCTAAGATATTACTTAATTACATATATAATTACCTATCCCATTAATCGATTTAATTTTTTTGAGTTTTTAGGTATTAATTGGCATAATCGTCGTGAATTAGAATCATTTCAATATCCATATGTTACATCTAAAGAGAAAATTGAGATTCTCTTTTTTCTTTTTGCTAGTAAGTAGAACGAGGCAAAATGACCAAACAAAAATGGGAAAAAGCTTGGCTCCTTAAAATTACGGAGGAGCTCCTCCTTGCAATCAATGGGGTTTTGACACATGTTAAATTTTTAAAACTTCTTTTTTTCTTTTTTGTTGAAACTTCGTCAATGTTTGCTTGAATTTAACAAATGTCAAAACCCCAATGGTTTTAAGGAGGAACTCCTCCTTAATTTTAAGGAGCCAAGCCTTGGTCGACCAAGCCTATATGATAATTTTATAGAAAATTTGACTTTATCCCCTTTAAACTCATTTATTCTAACCTAATTAAGCTTGATGTGTCAGATTTTATATTTTCAGATCCCTAAAATACCCCCACTTAAAGTTGTACTGAATATATTATCAACATATTTTTTGTTGGAATTCAATTGTCATTAATGTCCGTTTCATCTGATTAATTTTAAATTTTGGGTTCACAAATATTGTAGCTAGTGAGTGATGAGTTTTTAGACACACTAGAAGGCCTTCTGTGGAACAAATGGGCCAGCTTTTGGCACCAAGGTTAGCAACTACCCTCCATGTCCCAACCCTGAGCTGATCAAGGGTCTCCAGGCACACTGCCGGCTGTATGATCCTGCTCTTCCAAGATGACAAGGTCAGTGGAGATGGCCAATGGATTGATGTATGCGCTACTCCATTGTTATCAACCTTGACCAACTTGAGGTATTAAAATTAGTCACCCCAAATAACGCAACTTTCCAAATTAATGTTACTTCATGCACAAGTCAATTTGCTTACATATATAATAAACTTACAATTTTGAATTCCCCTATAGCATAGGTGATCACTAATGGGAAGTACAAGAGTGTGGTGCACAGAGTGATTGCCCAAACTGATGGCACCAGAATGTCAATAGCTTCCTTCTACAACCCCGGCACTGGCAGTGATGCTGTCATTTGCCCTGCACCAACACTGGTGGAGAAAGAAGCAGAGGGGAAGAATCAAGTTTACCTGAAATTCGTGTTCAAAGATTATATGAAGCTCTATGATGGCCTTAAGTTCCAGGCCAACGAACCAAGATTTGAAGCCATGAAAGCAGTGTAAGCTAATTTCAGTTTGGATCTAATTTCAACAGCTTAAGAGGAAATTGAGTTTTACTAGAAGCAGCAAAGCTTGTTTGTTTAAAGTAATTACGGGTGTGACCAAAGTTTTCGCATGAACTATATTTGAAGGTCTCCTAATTTTTAATTATCCAAGCTGTCACCTTAGAAAACAAGGACTTCTTCAACCAAGAAAAAAGAAAACAAGGGCTATAAAATCTGTGGCCAAATAGCAGCAGCCATGCCGAAATGGTGAACATCTGAAGCTGAAGTTTTCAAAAGCAGCAACAGAGGACGATCAAAAGCATAAAACCAAATTATAAAACAAAAAAGGAGCTTTCAAGTTGGGAAAATCACCATAAAGACTTTCTATTTGTGCCAATGATATCAGGATCTGCCACCAAAACTAAGTTATTTTGGCTGAATTACATTGACAAAAGAAAAGCCGGGAGGGAATGGCAGCTCAAACTACTTTACGGGTCATGGAAAGATAAGCTGTTCCATAGAATGATATCCCCTACCCCTGTAATAAATTAATGATTTACATGAAACGCAAGAATACAAACCTACACTCTATTTCTCTCATAACACGAGATGTCACATGAGAAATTACATATATCCCGGATCATGTAAGTTTCTCACCCATGCCGGCACACACATGAGCTGAGCAATATATCCCTAGCATTCATGATTGTCAATGCATGTGGGACATACAATGAGAAGTTTCTTTTGAACCAAGCAAAGAATCATCTAGAGAAGTTTGAAATATAAAATCATTCCCCAACATGATCATGACGATCACAACAATAATGTATCTTTATAGTAAC